AGACATCCCACAAGTGTACAGCACATTACTATAGGCATTGCCGAGCAATTCCAAAAAACCACTTGCCACGTCTTACTGATTCCCAACGTGCCAGATTTTCGTCAAAAGTAAGCAAACGTAATACAATGAATCGCAAGTGTCAGGCTGGCGCCTCTGTCGTGCAATGATGCTCGCATACAGATGTGGGAAACTTTGGCAGGCTTGCAGTTGCGCGTGCTTCGTCGCGCGAGCGGGCACGGTTGCGATCGAACGGCGGTTCGATCGAAACCGTGCCATTCCACTCCGTTGCCAACTGATTCCCGAAATTCTATGCAACATGTAACAGTCCAGAATACGACAAAAACGTCCAGCGGCGCGTGCTTGCTAGGCCGGCAAACAAGGTACAAAAAAAAGAAGAACCTGAGCGCATCGATGCAAGACATTGTGAGCCAGGGTCAAAAAGTTCTTGAAGCGCTTTGTGCAACAACTGAACTCGAGACAAACAAGCGCACTGTGCGGGTTCAAGTCAAGAAAGAAGGCAATGTATATACATTGCCTTCTTTATTTTAGCTCACTTCTCTTCACCAACTTTCTTTCACGGCAGATTTTTCACGTACCGGGGTCCTCTCGAAAGGAAGGCACCAAGAGAAACCTAAGTAATCAATACTTCGACACAGCAGTCTTTTGTGTTAAAGAAAGATTTTTATAGTAACGTACGACTTAAACAAGAACAGGAATGTTGATGGACACGCGGCGGTACTTAGTTTAATTTTAAAAAGCGCTATATCTACAGCGACGTGGGGACGGCAAAACCCGATGTCACGTGACCACGGTCTCTGGAAGGCAGGGACCAAATATAGTTTCCCATGGCCGTTGCTTCCAGGAGCGAGTGCTTCAGCTCACAAAGAAACTCCCGTCACACAAAAACATGTTTTCATTTCACAGCATGACAGATTGGCTACTACCCGGCACGCTAGCGTCGGAGCGTCCGGACACGCCCGCGCGTCTACTGTTGAAAAAAAAAAAAAAAGATGCGAGACAAGACCCACGAGACGACGAGAGCACGAAACGTGAGACGGCAAGAAAACCATGCAAGGACATAACACAGGCATGCTCAATTACGGCACTCAGTTTAGTTTAGGTTTTGAAAGGCAACCGAAATTGGAAAATAGAGATAAGACGAGGCGTTAGGCAGGGGTGCCCGTTATCGCCTTTGCTGTTTATGTTGTATCTGAGAGGATTGGAGGATAGACTAGAGAAGAGTGGGCTTGGATTCGACCTTTCGTACAGAAAGCTAGGCCAAAAAATTCAGCAATCCTTACCGGGATTGATATTGTACTAATGGCTAACAACAGGACAGAGTTGCAGGAATTAATGAGCATCTGTGGTAGGGAAGGAGAGGAATTAGGTTTAGAATTCAGTAGTGAAAAATCAGCAGTCATGATTTTTAACAATGATGAAGTTGAGAGGCTGAAAATACAGAATATTACAGTTGAGAGAGCTAGTAAATACAAGTATCTAGGAGTATGGATATGTGACGGTGCAGAATATCTCAGTGAGCATGAAAAGTATATAATAGGTAAGGGCAACAGAAATGCGGCTGTAACGAAAAATAGAGCACTTTGGAATTACAACAGATATGAGGTGGTGAGAGATTTGGAAAGGGGTCATGGTCCCTGGCTTGACTTTTGGAAATGCAGTGCTATGCATGAAATCCGAAGTGCATGCGAGACTAGAAATAAAACAGCGCGGAGTAGGTAGGCTGGCTTTGGGGGCACATTGCAAAATGCCAAACCAGGGAGTACAAGGAGACATGGGATGGGCGTTTTTTGAGAGCAGGGAAGCTGTGAGCAAGATAGAATTTGAGGATCGGTTGATTCAAATGGATGGGGACCAATGGGCACAAAAGGTTTTCAGCTATACATGAGGAGCATAGACACAAAGTGGAGACAGCACACTACGAAATTAAGAGGAAAGTTTTTAGGCTATAGTGGAGATACGGAAGAGCAGGTCTCAGTTAAAAAGAAAGTTAAGGCCACAGAAAGAGATTGGTGGCTAGACGAAATGCAGGCAAAAGACGGCTCTGGAAAGCTATAGATTAAACAAAACAGTTATTGCCAAAGGAAGCAATTATGAGAATTCTAGGGGAAGCTCATTGTTGTTTGAGGCGAGGACGGGTGTTCTGCGAACCAGAACATACAGAGCGAGGTACCAGGAAATGGATACAGTGTGCACTGCTTGTGGAGAGGAGGACGAGACGGCTGAGCACTTGATAATCTACTGTAAAGGGCTTCACCCTATGCCTACCGAAGACAACATGGATTTAATAAAGTCATTGGGTTTAAAGCGCGAAACACATGTACGACGAAAACCTTCCGATCCGACGTGCGGACTGCCGGAATGACCTTGGGGGGAGAGGGTGCTCGTAGCATCGGAGAGCGTTGAAAACCCTCGCCTCCGACCGTCGTATTGCGCGGTCGGACGTCGGATCGGACAGTTTCGTCGTACATGTGTTTCGCGCTTTAGAGACAGTGAAGGGAGAGTGGATTTCAAGACTGTAGAGATTACCAAGCAAAGATTAAGTGAATGGTGGCAGAAAGCGAGGGAAAACAAGATACTTTCTTATTAACTGATGGTAAGGGGATTTTATAGCCCCACTTTCTTTGCAGTGTGAAGTGAATATAGATTTCACATTTAAATATTCTAAGCTTAAATGGTAAAACAAAATGGCTAGGTGGCATAAGCTACCACCCGATCCAAAGGGCTCAGCCGCATTCATCCATCCTTCATCCATCGCGAATTCTCCACCGCCAATACGTTTGATTCAAAAGGCCTTTCTAGGCGTCTCGAGCAACGCTCTCGCTGATCAAGGCAGAGAAGAAAAGCGCGAATGAGTGCGCAACAGAATCAAAAGCTTATACACTGCATTGTGAGAGCTGCCCGATTCGACCGCCCACCTTTGCAGTTGCCTGCGGAAAGGCAACACGCGATCTTGTACAGGGTGTCACAAAAGAAAATTTACACGGTCTTTTTTACCGCAAAAATAAACTAGGCATCGCCGAACGCTCATTCTCCGCCCAAAGGTAGAGCTAGAGGTCACAACCAGATACCAAAGTTTCAGCCCCATCCGATAAGTTAATCAAAAGTTATAAGTGATTTTCTGAAAATTTCAATGGGAAAATGGAGCCCATTTTTGCCCGGTTTCGGTTTCTGGTGCCATGGAGCCGCATGTGTTTGAAAACTCCGTCGGCCGCCATTTTGCCATTGAAATTTTCAGCAAATCACTTATAACTTTTGAATAAGTTATCGGATCGGGCTGAAACTTTGGCATCTGGTTGTGACCTCTAGCGCTATCTTTGGGCGGAGAATAAGCGTTCGGCGATGCCTAGTTTATTTTAGCGGTAAAAAAGACCGTGTAAATTTTCGTTTGTGACACCCTGTATATCGGAGTTCGCTCAGTGCGATATCATTATGCACAGGCGTACTTTCGTGGCGGTGCCGTTCCCAGTAGGCTGATCATCACAAACTACTGACCGTGATTGGCAGCCAAAGGTGGTGCCTTGCAGCGAACTTGCGCTTGCGATCAAAGGGTCCTGTCGAGTGCTATCGCATGCAGAAGACGAATCCCGGAGAAAAGCTCACCGCAAAACCGGCGGATGCGGAGAAAAACTCACCGGCCATTGAACGTATGCGCAGAAAAGCTCACCGATATTTTCTCTTCTTTTTATGTGGAGGCTGTTGGATCCTGCGTAACATGTATCAATTTATTATCATTAAAACTTTGTAAAAAATCAAATGTCCTCTTTTGTAATATTTGTTAAGCTTAATGGGTATATTGCTCCCAAATTAATAATCGCGGGCCAGTGTTTTTTATGGCTTACCCTCTAGGCAACGAAAGCCTAACTAAAATCTTTATGAACTTGAAGAACAGGAAAAAGTTAAAAAAAGGTAATGATGACTGCCTAAAACCTAAAAATCAAAGGTGTAAATGCCGAAAATTAAAAAGTGTACGCGCAACACCGCGGTGCCTGAAATTCTCTTTGAAGCTTTTGTTAACATTTGAAAACAGGATAAAACAGTCAATGGGATATCGAGGCTTCTTTCTTCCACGGATATGCACGCTTTCTAACCGTTCGTGCTGGTGTTTCCACATGTTCCTTTTGTGTGATAGTGTCCTACGGTGCACCAGCCATGACCTTCAGAGGTGCACACTGTCTCCGTTGTTATTCGTGAGCTATATAAGAACTAGTCATTTGTAAGGTAGGTAGCGAATTGGGCGAGTTGGTAAACGTATACATGATAAAAACCACTCAAACGACGACGACGGAGTGAAGACAACAAACACGACACGACGAAGCTGTTCTCGCAACTAAAGCTTTGTTAGTGAAATTAACAGAAAGAAAACAGCGTAGCCAACACTGATTACATCCACAAACACCTACTTATCGATTAGGCACTACACAATATTTGGACCTCAAACGATTCACCACACCGCTATTCATATTAGCTCGCAAAAAACAAACCTCTTTATCTGACAGAGCTACCGACGGCGCACCCTCAGCTGTCAATAAATTGTTGCCTTTTTTACCGGTGTACGATGTTCTGATTTTATACTTGCGACTTCATTAATTTGCAGAATGGGTGATTACTAATGTCTGAGGAATTAGTAAATACGCCCCATGAACCTCAAGAATATTACAAAAACGAGGAAATATTTTTAATGAAATGACGAAAGCGAACTGTGCTAAATTGCCACGTTTTACGGAGAATCAAGCTAAGCTAAAAAAATATCGGTGAGCTTTTCTCCGCATCTGCCGGTTTTGCGGTGAGCTTTTCTCCGGTGAGCTTTTCTCCGGTGAGCTTTTCTCCGCCGCCCGCAGAAGACACCGTTGCTTCTAGAGACGGGCGTTGATCTTCAACAGCAGTGGAACAAATTTGATCTTTGGGCAAACTTAGCTCGATACACTCCGGATCATCTTCCGCTGAGACCCGCGCTCTGGCCGACATCATTGAGCACTTACCACGTACCGAGTCATCTGCCGCTTCCGACTTGAATGGAAAAACAAAGCTGCAAAAGAAACTGGTGAAATAACGAAGAAACGATGCGAACATCGCGAATACGAACTTTACGCGGGAAAAGAATTATCCGGGTTTAGCCAGTGGCTTGACTTTGGCTTTGGATTTAGAAATACGGCTAACCCCTTTGTAACGGGGGCACGGGGGCAACGGGGGTAAACTGGGTAAACCGCACTCGGGCAGCGTGGTATGGGCCGCGGACCCCTGCCCACAGTGGCGCCGTCGTTGCCCTCCTCGTCGATCTCCCGGAAGACCTCCGGCTGCAGGCCCGCGCACTCCAGGATGACGTGCTGCAGCGTTTCCTCAGCCCCCTGTGTGCGCAGGGTGCATCGCACGTCTGTGTCGGTGTACTTGGCTCGAAGCACCCGCGTTCGCAACATGCCTCCTCGGGCATCGAACAGAAGTCCGCTGCCAGGAATTCCACCTTTCTGACTTCCTGTTTTTCTCTGGTGTACAGGGCAAGTGCCGGCTTGTGTCCCGCCGGCACTTGCCCTGTTCAGTCTCGGCGAGTCTCGTGCGGATGTTTTCCAGTTGTTGTTCTGGAGTCAGGTGAAGGAGAGGGCTGTTTATGCCATACCGGAGGGGCCAGCTGGCGTGTTCGTCGCACCCACCTAGTCGAGAGGCCCTTGAGGTGGATGTACTTGAAAGTCTGTCTTGCCCACCGCCCTTCCTGCATTTGGCAGAGGCGTCGTTCGAAGCCCAGCTTGGACCGAGCCTCTCAGGCATCGAAGCTGGACCACCCCATGTCCCCCTGCACTGCCTCGATCGTTAGGTGTTCCTCGGCTGGCTCCCAGTGCCGCCCGTCCCACTTCTCTCTGGCGCACCTTTAGGCACTCGCGCGTGCGGGACGAGACACAGGACTCCGTTTCCAAAAGTGAGGCCCGCACTGCCACCATCTTCCACATTTCCCGGGAGTTCTCGAAGCGGTTGTAACTCCAGAGGGCTCTGGCAGTCAATATCCCCTTGGACTTCCTGCTCTTAGCCTGGAGCCTGGTCTCATGGTCTTCGAGGTAGTTGTGACCCTCCTGAATGTGAATTCCCAAGTACTTGTATTGTGATACCCACGGTACTTGTTCCCCCTAAATTTTCAGGTCATCTGCCTCGGTGTCTCCTCTGTCCCCAAAGCCCATCAATACCGACTTCTTAGCACTGAAACTCAGCCCCAGTGCCGTCCCCATTGTGTTGCACTCATTCATAAGGGCCTGCAGGCCCTCCAGGGAGTGTGCCATCAGGACGATATTGTCGGCATAGATTAGCTTAGGGATTTTTCCTCCCCCACTGGTTCCCGTCTCCGTATATTCCAGGGTGAAGCCCTCGGCGCAGTCCTGCAGTCTGTTTCCGAAGCCTGCTATGTAGAGCATAAACAGCAGTGGCGACAGTGGGCATCCCTGTCTCAGACCCTTGGTGATGGCTACTGGATGAGTCATCTCTTCTTGCCACTGTGCCACCAGAGTCGTCTCCTTGTAAATTTCCTTCAGCAGGGTGATCCACTCCTCTCCGAGCTCCCGCTTTGCTAGCTGCCTCCACAGCTTCTCATGGTTGACCGAGTCGTAGGCCCGGCTGATGTTGAGGAAACAGAGGTAAAGTTGACGCCTCTCTCTCTGCGCGATCTCTATGGCCTGCGTCAGCACGAATAAATTGTCCTCAAGGCGTCTCCCCCACCGGAAACCGTTCTGTAGCTCCCCCAGGACTCCCTCTGCCCATGTCTGCAGTCGGTCTCGTATTATCTATGTCAGGGGTGGCCAGGCTGGCCTGGCCAAAGAGCCGCAAACAAAACCACGGAACTTCTAAGAGCCGCGGGGGGGGGGGGGGGGCAAATTAACCTTTGTTCAGAGTCTGACTGTACGTATGGGGGCACAAGGCTGTACGTATGGGAGTACAAGGCTGTCAAACTGCAAGCTGCAGTGTTCTTTATTCTGAAATCCTTTCTTTTTTTTTTCTGGGGAAACGCGGAAAGGGGCGAAAAGGGGGGGGGGGGGGGTCCCCTTACGAGGGATCCGCGGGCCGCACTTGGACCGCCAAAGAGCCGCATGCGGCTTGCGAGCCGCGGTTTGGCCACCCCTGATCTATGTGAACACGCGGTAGAGTACCGATGTGATAGCTATGGGGCCGTAGTTGCCGAGCGTTGACTTTTGCCCTTTTCCCTTGTAGATCAGTCAGAGTCCTGAGGTTCGCCACTCCACCGGCACCCATCCCTCCTTGTGGCACTGCACGTGTCACAATGAACCTGGTTGTGAGGTTCACAGCTGTGATGAAGTACTTGTTCTCGTCATCGGTGTTGATTGGTCCGACGTGGTCGATGGCCACAGAATCAAACGGTGTCGTGGGGATGACCCTGGGATTGAGAGTGCCTGGGTGCACGCCTGTCGCGTGGTGGTGTTGTTGGCATATCTTGCACCCTCGAACATACTGCGTGATGTCGCGGTCCATGTTGCTCCAGTGGTACCGTCGTTCAAGTTTAGACTTAGTTCGGAGTGCGTCACCATGTCCAGCGTCGTCATGATGGCTTCTCAGGACAGCGTTGCGCAGGGACTTGGGCACTTCGGTTCGAAGTCTCGTCGTGTCGTTCTGCTTTGTCACATGCATCAAAATGCCATTGGCAAGCTGGAAGTTTCTCTCGAGGTGTTTCCGGTATACCGTGTCTCCCGGTGTCTTGAGCTCTGCAATGATCGCTGCCAGCTCGGGGCCTTCGTCTTGTGCATCACGTAGTCGATTATCATTGGCTTTCACTACACAAATGGCATTCACCTTGGGTCTCATGCGTGAGAGAGCATAAGCCACTGTGTTTGTCTTTTCAGGTGTGTGACGCTCGGTGAAGTGATACTGTGCCAAATTGAGAATGATTCGTGCGAATCTTCGGTTTGGGTTCTTTTTTGACATGATGTGGGCTACGGCCCAGTTGTCCGTGAAGAGTTCGAAGTGTTCCAGACCTTGAAGGTATGGGTGAAAGCGATCCGTAATGGCCCAGTGAGCCGCTATCGCTTCTAGCTCGGTCGAGTGCTTGCTGCTGTCGGTGTCCGTTACTTTCTTGCTCGCGTATTCGACGACACGAGTGGAGTTGCCGTGCACTTGAACTAGTACTGCTCCGAATGCGACGTGTGAGGCGTCCACATACACCTGTGTTGGTAAGCTTGCATCAAAGTTTGCAAGCACTGGTGCTTCAATGTGTCGTTGTTTTAGCGTGTCTTCGCTAGTGCGCATGTTGACAGCTCACCATGCTTTCGGTGCCGGTCGCCGCATGTGGTGGTGCTTTTTGACTTGATGTCGACTTGGGCGTCGTTTGAGCGTTCTTGGTGTTATGTCAGTCAATGACGGAACCGTCGCGGTGACCTGGTGCGTTGGATCGTAGTGCCGTAGGCCGCTTGGGCGTGTTTCTTTTTTTTTTTTTAGGGAGTTGTCGGCTGCTTCATACCGAACTTTTGCTGCTTGCCCGTCTGCGTAGTCTTCGTTAGTGAGTCCTCGTCGCCGTGTTAGTCGTGGATGAGCTCAAGAATAAACAATGTTAATTGAAACTCAAGAATTTAATGCGGGTTAAAATGGATTACAATTTGTCGTGACGACATGACGTGCGCGAGTTCTTCCTCGCAATGCTCTTCCTCTCCACCGATGGCGCAAGGTGTCCGTCGTTGTGGAGCTCTCTCCACTGACAGAGGGCAAGTGCCGCCTTTTCTTCACTGCGGCCATTATTATGTCTCTTCCTTCCTGACCGATGCCGAAAACAATCGCATATTTGAGGTAGTTTATTAAGCTGCGTGTTCTTGGGGTTACCCGGCGCCTTTTCACGAGTGGTAAAGTTCAATGACAATAACACCGTAATGCTCTCATAAAAGACTGAAGACAAGTGGGCGGCTCCATTAGCAGACGGCAGAGTTTTTACCACTCTGTGAGGGCCACCGAGCAACATTCAGGTATTCTACTCTGGAGCCACCGCTGCTCATAATCTAAGAGGCGTTGAAGAGGACGATAAATCTTGTGTACCGATTCGCTAGGTTGGCTTGAACATAACCTGTTTGGGGGGATCAGTGCATAATCATCTCATTCAAATGTAAATCTTAATTTTACTTTTTTATGCCTCACTTGCCATACCTGTTTTTAAATTTGGCACCCATATTCAGTATTGCTGAATATGCATAGTGAAAGGCACAAACAGGTATTGTTGTTTTCCGTTCTTTACTGTTTATTAATCGTCTTTCTAAACCTTGCAGAACCAACTGAACAGGAATTTCGACGCAGATGAGAACGACACTTCGCCGCTTTGCAAAGGTGGCCTGTCACCAGTCGAGTCCCCCTTCGGCGGTGCAAGGCCTTTGTGCTACATTTTGTATTTACACGTATGCGACAGAGTCAGATCAAATAAGATGGCTACAGTTGAGCCTGCTGCGTGTAAACTTTCCATTGTCAGTCTTACCTTACTATGCCGACCAACCGCCCTCTCCTGACCCCCCCTCTTTCAAAGCCTAGCAGAGGCTTTCATCCATTTATTTATTTAAACTGTATAATCCCTCCAAGTATGTCTTAATGCAGACAAACTGAATAGTGTCTTTTGTTTTATTGTGTCAAAATGTAAGGAGGTGGTGTCTCATTTCTAAGACTGAAACAATGTGTGCCATGTGTGCGTTATGTTTATTGTTTGCTGAAGTAATAACAGATCTACACATTTCTTACTGCCATGCTTACAAACCACAGGTGCTTAAAACACTGGCGACTACATATGACTGGTAGAGAAGCGGCCGGCCATCGGCAATCACAAGATGGTTCACAAGCTCCTCCGGTCGTAAGCAGCTGCAAGTGTGTCAACTGACAAAATTGGTTCATATATCTCCGTACTCTCATATTGGGCCTACCAAAACTATCCGCAGACGTGTTAGAAGCGCACATTTATGAGTGCTTCGAACACGTCCAGAAACAGTTTTGGTAGGCCCAATATGAGGAAACGCACCTCAGACGGTGTTTACAACGGTCGTTTGCTTGGTGTATGAGCAGTGTTACCGGTACTTTACGGAGAGAGTGAAGAAAACGTCAGGAGATGATTAGTCTGCTAAAGTAAGTGAACAATAGAATTTGTCTGCTAAGAAGCGTTATTTGCAGACAAAAATAAAACAAGAAAATACTTTTACGTATTCTGTTAACGGACCGGAATAAAGGCAGCCCTCTGGTAAAAGCAGAGTGCCGCAACTAAGTGATACGGGACGCAAGCTGAAACTATGAAGCTCTGCTATATTTCCCGTTTGATGCGATTGGCAACAAGGGCTCCCTCTGAAAATCTCAAGCTCTGCTGCCGTACATAGCTCAAATTCTCCTGTGCATGTAGTACACTCGGGACAAAAATTATCGCGAGACGCCCGTCACCATCCGTGTGTTAGTGAGTAGTTCTCACCAAAAGAACTCTAAACCAACTAAAGATATGTCATAGGTCGATAACTCTCGCCCAGTAAGACGCTGGGACATCACGTTCAATCAGTACCCGAGAATGCTATCGCTCTCACCATGGACCAAACGCTGACCGCTAAAACTGGTTTTGAAAAGGACGTTATCTTGTAGCCTAGCTGGTAAAACAGGCCTGAACAAAATCTGTAATAAGTGCCATGTTCCAGCCTGAACCATTCCCTCAGCACAGCCCGGGAGGGTGTTACAGAGGAGATGGATAGAAGGTGTTGAAAGTGCGTAAACAAAACCATGAACGAACTAGAGAAGGATTAAAAAAGCATTCAGCTATGGTGGTCTTGAAGATGAGACGCCTGTAAAAGGAAGCTGAAGCGGTTTTGTACAGGATGAAACAAACTTAACTAGTCTTGATTTGGCTTCCAAGACGTCCAGGTGGCAGAAAATCATTTTCAAAGTACTGCTGAAGGCCATCCTTCCCGTAGCGTGCCGTCGTAAAAGTAGCTTTCAAAATCTACGCTTTTGCACATCTTCAGTGCCTGTCGAAGCTATGCACGAGCACTATTGACATTTTTAAGAAGGTCAAGAAAAGATGTTGCGACTGGTGCCAGTGTGGGGGAGTGGCAAGCTTGCAATTGCGCACGCTGGCACACGAGCGACATGCGCTTGGGGGCCGAAGGATCCTATTTCACGTAGCGACTATACTCCGTTTCACCTTATGTTGTACCGCAGCGAAGCCTAGAAGCGCGATTTCATAACGTTGGCAGCTGCCCTTAATGCACGACAGCTTGTGCCGCGGAGATGTGCTCTAAAGCAAGGAGCACGCGCTCGTAGCCTTTCTTGTGGTACATCATGAGGTGAAATAGAGTATAGTCGGAAGGTTTTCCTGTTTTCTCGCATTTGGTTACATCTTCGAAGAAAAAGAACGCAATATTCAGATTTACGGGATAAAACTACTCTGGAATCAACCTCTATCTCATTTTCTTTTTTTTTTAAATAACTGTTTTAGCTTCTTTTAATAGAGACGAAGAAAAAGGGGAAGCCGCTCTAAGCTCGTCCTGAGATGGAAGAAATAAAAATTTGTAAAAATATATTTGTGTTGCGACCGGGACTGTAAACTTTATACTGCTGATAAACTGAAAAACGGTGTCGTTATTCATGAAGTGGCCTTTAGTTCTTTACTTGATTTAATGCTCTGCAAATGCGCGTTATCCCGTTTTTGCCTTCTTTTCCCTCGTCTCTGCGTCGCAATTCGTAATCATGCATTTTACTGCGCAGTTTGATCAATTAAGTAATGAATAGCCAACTATACCAATTCCAAGCACTGATACCCTTCAGTTTTAGTTCTGCTCATCGAATGTGATGATATTTGAGGGCATGTAAAGTAACTTTGTGTTGGCGAATTTTTATTATTAACCCTCATCCTTCTAAAATTTGCAGGTTGAACTATCCGGAAATCCACTTATTGCAAGTATGAGCGACCCTTCGCTGCCTAGGAAAGAGGTCCGGCGATCCGCCAAGTCAATCTATGGCAGTGCCAGAACTTTGGGCTACATTTTCCCCCAGATGAATGGGACCGACTAGTCGGATCAAATAGGGAATGGCCACAGCACAGTCAACATGCAACATTTCCATTCCCTTCCCTACGTTTGTTCGCCGACACACCAAGTCCTTTTGTTGACATGTAATTCTCAAAACCTATGGCGGTGATACAATGTACAGTGTTTGCTTTTGTAGCATCGACTGCCTTTTTCAGCACTACAAAGCAGGAGCGCTGAGACAACACCACGCTCCTTGATTGTATCCAGTCGCGTCTTTCTCGATTTCTGTGGGACTGTATCGATGTAATCCTTTACCGCATGTTTAAAGGGGCACTGACACCCCAAAGGTCGTATTTTTTTTTATTGTCTAAAACGATGCAAGTTGCAGTCATAAACAAAAAAAAAAAAACGCATTGCGAAAAAAAAAATTTTGCGCGCGCGCCCCTTTTTATTTTTGTTGTTTGATTCTCTCGCCTCCTCGCTTCTTTTGATTCGTGACGTCAAGAATCATGAAATTTAGAAGCTTTGTAGGCGAAATCTCTATAACATGTAATAACGGCAATCATAAAACATGTTTTTTACGCAATTGCGAACGCACTACGGCCTTTCTTTTTGAAATACCAAAAATCGGAGTTCGTTGTGGTGCCGTCTCCTGGATTTGTATCCTCCCACGGAAAACAGGTGACACCGGTCCGCCGGCGCTCGCTCCTTTCCTCCTCGCTTTGGGTCGCAATGGCAACAGCAGGGAGTCGTGAAAGAAAGCGGACTCTCAGGACTCTGCAATATTTGACGTTAACGCACCGGCGCGGATCACGCAGGAACTTAGAATTTGGCATTTGGAAATTGTTTTTTTACTTCACGAATACTGAATTTCGAACTTTGAGAGTAATGGTCCCGGCATCGTTTTCGATCGTTTCGGATAATAAAAAAAAAAGATTTTGATGTGTCGGTGCCCTTTTAAGGTGAAGTGAAACTTTTGAAGCACGTATTTAATAAAGAAGAATCGCTTTTATGTATATAGGATTCACATGCATTTTTACAATCGATGTTTTCAAGATTTTAAGAATTCACTTAAGATGCGCGTGTTTTTTCGTGATACGATTATTTTACCTTTTGAATTGCACTGCAATATGAATGTAAACCCCTGAATTTTTTTCTTGACTTCCAAGGAGCCGAATTGCAGAAGCAACCATGGAAGATGGAACAGGAGGGGAGGACAAACGGCGGTGCGACTTCTTCTTCAAATCTTGTTGTGCCCACAGAAATAACAACACCAGGTATGAGAAGACGCAATCGGGGCAATTCTTATACAGCTTCGCACCTTCTTAAAACAGACTTACGGATTCATGAACGGTCCCACATGGATAAAAAAACCTTTTTGTATGCTAGGTTTTCCAGAAGGAGGAAACTCTGAGGAGTCTGATGTGGCACAGAAAGTTTCTTCCACGTGGAAACCTCTTTAAAGTTTGGTTAGCGCCCAGCAACGAGCAGGAAAGTATACCACAACAAAATGCAAGGTTTATTTTCTTAGAAAAGGGGGGGGGATAAAGTAGTTAATAATAATACTAATAATTCCTTTATTTTTCCAAGAAAAAGTTGAAAGGTGACCAGGGAAAAAAGCTGTCAGCTTGACTGGCCCCTAGCCACCCCAAACAAGCAGTCGCAAAGCAAGCACCAGAGGAATTATACAATGAAACTTTACAAATTCATAAATATAAATGAAAAAAATCACACAAAAGAAACAGCATTTTACAAAGCAATAACACATTGAATCAACACACACAGTGCATTCTAACTAAGCGCAACACAATGGGCAATCGTTGATAATAAGGTTTGAAATAAAATATTCCCTTAAAATGCTCACCGATGTACTGTTGATATCTGTCTTGCCTAGTCAGCTGATTAAGAATATTTGGTAAAGTATATGCCATAGTTTGATTGCCGTAATTAGTTCTAGAAAATAGTACTTTCCAGGGTTTCTTAGTTCGTGTTGGATATGTATACACTTTTTGTTTTAGGTTCGCTAGGTTTTCTAGGCGACGCTGGGGTAGATTTTTTTCCATAATATATTTTGCACATAAACAATGTTTGTATACTTCAAAAACTTTTATTCTACCAAGTTGACCAAAAATATCACTAACTGGACATTCAATGTCAACATTACATACACTTCTTAGTACCTTTTTTTGCAACATGTATATTTATGGAGGTTGGTATAGGTTGTGGTGCCCCATATGAGACGACCATAATTTGAATGTGAAGAGAATAATGAATTATATAAAATTAACCTTGTTCTCAGTGGTAAGATGTGTTTATTATGATATGCAATACCGACTATTCAAGATAATTTAGATATAATATAATTGATACGGTCATCCTATGATAGGTTTTCTTGAAAAACGATGCCTAAGGCGTCGTTTTTCAACTTTTTAAACCTGGGAACAACTTTAATTTGAGTAGAATTAAAAAAAAAATGTTCTTAGTAGTATTGACACGCCTCCTTTTTTGGTCGAAACAAAACTGCTTTCGTCTTATTCACATTTATTCTTAAAGCATTATGTTTACTCCAAATATGAAGCTTTCTCATTGTTTTATTCGCATCTACTATAAGATCCGAGGCGTTATCATTAAAAAATAGGCTTGCGTCATCATCATAAATAACAAAGTATATGGATGACATTAGCATTAGCTAACTCTTTTCTGGGCACCTCCTGGCCATTGAGGTTTAACTTTTCTACTTGATTTCGGGAACATGAACGACCTAAGACAGAGTTTAACTTTTTCCATACAATGTCGACTTTGTTATTACAGGATAAAAATAAGTTGCAGAAATAATATTCTTTTGCATGTCGTAGTTCTTTGTTTAGTTGGTTTCGATAACGTTTAAAATTAAAATTTTTCAGTTTCTTTCGTTGTTACAAATTTTTGATATAGCATATTTTTAATACCAATTTTTTGCGAGAAATTCCTTAGTGATCCAGGGTTTGCGACTTTTTCTAGAAGTTTTGAAATTTTTATGTGAAAAACAACTTTCATAAAGTTTTTTTTTTTTTAATTTACTCAAAATAAGTTATATGCATTATCTACGTTCTTTTCTTAGTGGACATCATTCCAATCCAAACAAGATAGTATCTGCAAGAAGTTGTTCAGGTTATCAGCCGTTATATTCTGGAACTTTGCCCCTAACTGATTTTAGAGCGCAGCTCTTAGGGGCCCGTTCCCGGCTTGAGCGGCGTCGGCGTAACTAAGGTCAGCCCAAGGTCACGTGACCCCCAAGGTAACGTGACCCCCAAGGTCACGTGACCCCCAGAGGTCACGTGACCCCCCCCCCCCCCCCGAAGTCACGTGACACCCCCGAGGTCACGTGACCACCCCCAGGGTCACGTGACCCCCCGCCGAGGTCACGTGACCTCCCTGATGACGTCATCGTCACTGATGACGTCACCGGCATCCGCATCGTCATCGTCATCATCACTGATGACGTCATCAGTGACGTCACTGATGACCTCACTGGCATCCGCATCGTCATCGTCACTGATGACGTCATCAGTGACGTCACTGATGACCTCACTGGCATCCGCATCGTCATCGTCATCATCACTGATGACGTCATGTGACGTCAATGATGACGTCACCGGCATCCGCATCGTCATCGTCATCATCACGGATGACGTCATCTATGACGTCACTGATGACGTAACCGACATCCGCATCGTCATCGTCATCATCGCTGATGACGTCATCGGAGTTTGCATCGTCATCGGCACTGATGACATCATCGGCATCGTCACGTGACCCCCCAAGATCACGTGACCCCCCCAGGCCACTTCACCCCCCTCCCCCCAGTAGCGTTCCCTCCTCCTCCTCAAGAGTTGCGCTCTAATTCGGTGTTACAGGGAGTTGTAAACGGCTTTCATTTTTTTTTGTTTGTTTTTGTTTGTAGCTTCATTTTTATTTATACACAAAAATATACCCAAATGGTCGCTAATATCAGTTACTACTATGCCAGATTTTGTATCTGACTTATCGTAGCCTGTAATAAAAAGATCCCGTAGTGTCGATGATTCAGTGTTAATTCTCGTTGGGGCAGTTATCATATTCACACATCCAGATGTTTGGATCAGTCCTTCGAATTGCATAATATTTGTTGTCTCGGGTAACACGTTAATATTAAAGTCGCCTTCCAGAATTATGTTATATTTATTTTTATTCACAAACTCTAAAAAAAGACTAAATAAGCAAAAAATGACGAAAGATTTCCACTTGGTGGACGATAACACACTGCTATAATACTCTGCCCTATCAATAACGACGACATCTCGTAGTCTTTATCAATGCTACAGTAATCGGTAAGCATTTCACAGTAAAAGGTCTGCCTTTATCATGATTGTTACGCCCCCGCCTCGGCTTTCTGTGCGGTTTAAAAAGTAACTGTCATACATTGGTAATTTTACGTCACTAGAATCAGCGTACCACGTCTCAGAAAGAAAAATTCCATCAAACTAAAAATTGAGCTCACGTAAGAGTACCTACTTCCAGCTCGTCTGCTTTATTTCGCACTGATCATGCGTTTATGTGGAAACATTTGAGGGAGTTTATGTCTTGTCTCCCAAGGAAGATTTTACATTCCATGGAAGGAAATAATAATCACTTGACATAGCGATTTGGGCATCAAGTGAACCTGTCATGTTAGCCATTGCATACAAAATAGTAATATCTTAAAACTTGTGTAAATATGCGAGGCATCAAACTAGCTTCTGCAAGTCATCCATAGGCTTTATTACGTGTACTCGCTCGCGATCCCTTTTGTGCACAAATATGTTGCCATTCCTATGCAAGACGTACTGGTAGTTCGTGGTTTTAGCCCATTATTTTGCCTCCCAAAGACGCGCCCTGACTTGTTTCGTGAGGTTCTCCTGGATGTAAGTGTTCTCTTTTTGTTTCAGATTTGTCCGTTTGCTTGGCCATTCATCCCTGGTTTTCTGTTGAGCAGAATGTATAATAATGCCTGGAATTTTTCCTGGTCGGGACAGTAGTCGATGAATGCTGGCTGCTTCAATTAAATACTAGTCTGGCACTTCCAGTTTCTTTGCAACCACATTTACTTTTGCTAACAGATCTTCGTTCTCAGTTTTAGGCACTCCATGAATCTCGAGATTTTGCTCTCGGCTTTGCCATTCAAGTCTGTTGACTTCCTGCTTAAGTTGTTTTATTTCCACGTCGGCGTTGGTTCTTCCAGGGTTTCTATAAGTTTTAGGGGCGAAGCTCCTTAGGGTCTAGCCTTGTCCGTCCGTCCGTCCGTGCTCACATAAAAAGAAAAAATGTTTGTGCAGTCGACGGGATTCAAACCTGTGCGGGGAGACCCCATTGGATTTCTAGTCCATCGCCTTA